ATATATATATATATATATATATATGGCATTGCTAAGAAAAATTAGGTGGCATTATAATGTTAATATACCCACAAAAAGGGGTAAATTTTAAAGACAAGACCTGAGGTATTACACAGATCGGTTAATTCATAACACGAGAGAAATGATGCACAATACAAAACATGAGTAATAAGACACTATGCATCAAGAAGCTCAGAACCTATCTCAATAGTTAGAGGTGGCTAAAAAGAGAGACAGAGTGGAAATCTCCATTTAGTATATCGGGCTTTGATTAATCATCTTCTATCGTGGAAACATAATAACCAAAACTAAGCTCGTGGATGCAGCTGCAGTGACATATGAGTTGGAATGCCTGGCGTGTACAAAGGTGAGTAATAAAAGTAAAGCAAATGAGCAAAAACACATCAAAAATGACTAAAATTGTATGTTTTCATTGTTAAGAGGTGAAGTGAAATCCTCATCTGGTGAATCCCAATTCAGCATTTCCTTGATATATCTTTTATAATTTTCATTCTAATTATAATGAAAATCATTTCTCAATGTAATTTTGCCATAAAATGTTTCTTTATTTCTCATTACATAAGAACATGATCTTGTAGTTACTGAGCAGGCTTACAATGTGCACAATGTATCTTCTCTTTCTTAGCATTTAATCTCTTCATAGTCTATGATGTCAAGAGGTTCAGATTAAGCTTGTTAAAGATCTGCTTCACTCGAACTCACTGATGATTATTTATTTAGCAGTTTTATGTAACCCTGTCATTGATAAGCACTCTATTAATTTGCCGAGGGACAAATCAACACTAGTTATTTTTCTACCGGCTATTAGACTCGGTGCTGCTGTTTGTTACAAACCACTTGCCAGTTAATTATAAATTATGGGTCCTCTTTGCCTATATTAATTGATATCTCCTCTGCCTTTGTAATACTAGACAAATAAATTAAAGGCAAGATTTATTAAGCAGTGTATGTCTTGTGTCTCTTGATTAGTATCCTGTACTTTTTTAACATTTATACTTCTTTATATAGATTTAACATACCAATGCACTAGAAAAATGCTGTTTAGGATATTTTGTAGTTTGAACAAAAAAGAAAAAGAAAAAGAGAGAGATTTAATAAGCTTCATACACTTTTTTTCAAATGACTCACAATTCATTGTAAGCAGTTCCTAAAATGCATTCTGACTTTGTGCCACAAACTGGTGATGACAGCATACTGATTTCACAAAAGCTAATATTCAAGCGATTTTAAATCTGTGCATCCAGTTTCTATAAAGAGGCTAATGTGTTACATATCCATATCCATATGCAGAATAACTATAAATCTACATTCTTTGAACATACAATATCCCACAATTTCTTTATCTCATTGCATATTTTCATCCTAATACATGTGCTTTTGTAGACACAGAGGCACTTTTTTCCTTTTAAAATGATTTCTTTTTAATAAATTATTCACTTGAATGTGTAACATACAGCAACAAAAAAATAAACTATTGCCACTTTAAATTTTCAGAAACAAATTATTGATGGCTTTGGCCATAGGATATGCACCTTTCCATCTGCTGTCCACAGAGGACCTGGAGTCAGAATTTAGACCAGCTAGGAAGAAAGAATATTTTACAAAAAGAAAAATCTTAATTCGTTTTCTCCCTGGATAGTATAAAAAATTGAAGAATTGCAGATTTAATGGGAAGATTTACCTCAGAGGGTCACTGTACTATATGTTCTGATTTGAAAGGGCTTCAGGACCTAGCTATCTGCCAAAAGATCTGGGTCTCAGAAATTTTAATTTTGTACATAATTTCTCCATCTAATTGACAGTTTTGACCCAAGCTGCTCTTAAGATATCTTGTATTACTAATAATTCCCCATCTGACATAAATCCAGCAAATGAACAGCTAGCCCATTGGGATGGGTGGGTTGTTTTCCCATTAGTTCTCAAGGGAAAGGAATTGGTCAATAGATATATTTCTATTTTCAACTTACATTCAATTGAATATTTTCTTCATCGTGTTTGTATTTGAAAATTTGAATACTCCCCAAAAATAATTTGGGGGAAACTTTCTTAATAAAATTAACGGGTTCATTTAGAAAATATGCACCCTACTAATATGCTGTAAAAGTGACCTTGAGCCAAATTTTAATAATGAGATTTGAAGGATCATCTTCTCCTTTTACTGTGCTACCTTTTGCTGGTTGTTCCTGGGCAAGCCTCCCAATGTCAGGAGCCACAGAATTTCCTAATAGCTTTGATTTATTTGATTATTCAGAAAACATGTTCTTAATCATCCCTCACCAATTTGCTATTTCATCTGTAGATACTCTGGCTTACCCCTTCCACTGCTTCCTATCTGTCTCCTCAAAATCTTTATCCCCCCATGGTCAAAGAAGATGAAATAGAAGTAAGCTTTCAATCATTAGTTACAACTCTAAACTACTGTGCTTAACACAGTGGATCAGAATTGAGGAATTGACACTAACCTTTCAAATAAATCATTTTTGATTATTCACATTTCTGATATTCACATTACTTTTGAACTTAATTACAATGTTAATTCATTATTCATTGAACTATGCTTAAAATATTTACTATTTACTAAAATTTACTATTTACTAAAATAAAATTTTATCCTGACCCAGTGGTTTTTCAACGAGGGACAATTCCATTCCCCAGAGAATATTTACAAAGATCTGGGGACACTTGTGGTTATCACAAGTGGTGAATGGAATGGGACTGCTACTGACATGACGTTTATTGAGTACAGAGATGATGTTAAGCATCCTACAGTACATTGAACAGCCCCACAACAGCAAGGAATCATTGATCCAAAATGTTAATAATAATGAGGCTGAGTAACCTTGCCATATCACCTCAAAATACACCCTAACTTTCTCACTTGATAGGGTAAGAGTTTTGAAGGGAAAAGATTAGAAATTAAACCATAACTCCTTTTTCTAGTTTTGAGTGACCCATGGAGGTCATCCTGGCACACTCATTAATATGGAGGCTGACTTGAAGTGGGTAGATAACCTTAGGCTTATCATGTGCACCCTTGGGATCTGAGATGAATCTTCTGCAAAATCTGCTAGGTATTATCTAACAGAAATATTATCTGAGGGCTGGGGATTAAGCTCAGTGGTTCTGCCTCCTTGCAAGCACAAGGACTTGAGTTCAATCCCCGGTACGAAAAGAAAGAAAGAAAGAAAGAAAGAAAGAAAGAAAGAAAGAAAGAAAGAAAGAAAGAAAGGAAGAAAGAAAGAAAGGAAGAAAGAAGGGAAGGAAGGAAGAAAATATTATCTGAAATAAAATGAAGGAAGATAATTCAGTTCTATTCAACTAAATAGCTAAACTAAGAACCCTCTGTGGGGATGTGAGGGGTGGGCTGAGAGAAGAACTATGAGTTACGCGGCTCCCTGAGGCAAGGTGGTCCCTGAGGTAACAACTAGCTGCAATGGGATAAGTGGACAAAGGGACATGAAGAGGGCATACTGTATCTGGGAAAGTAAAATTTAGTAATATGGGTCTTTCATTCAACAATTGTTTACTCATTGATATTCAATGAGTAAAAAGCAACTACATTATATAATAGTTGTTTTCAAACCTCTATTTCCTTTTCACTAAAATTTTTTAAATAAATGTATGAAAAAATAATAGATCTGTAATCCATGTATTCAATTTTAAACAGAATTTCTTGTTTTGAGGTATTTGTTCTAACATCATCTGATATTCTAATATTATATAAATATAAATGTATATAAATATAAACTTTTCACTCCCTCAATACCTCACTTTGGAGGCCAGTGCACTAAGCCATATAAATTTGCTTTTTTAAAAAAATAATTAAGTTTATTGGTGCATTTTAGAGATACATTATGATCACATTCATCATAGGGAATTTGTACCTGTACATGACAGACCTTGATTCTTCTTTTTCCCCGGTACTCTCCCTTCCCTTCCACCCCTTCCCATCCTTATTTACAAAGCTTAAGCCATACAAATTTAGTTCTTAACTAAAATCTACGCATTTGCCACTGGTAGTTTTCTTAAAACTAGCAATGCTTTTTTTCTTTTTCTTTTATTTCTACTGCTCAGAACAAAAGTTTTGTTTTGTTTTTTTTTACTGATCTGATGATCTGGTAGTAGAGAATATAATAGATCCATATATACTAATGCTATAAGACACAATTATAATGCACTAGTGGCTATAAGAAAAATAAATTTGTTTCTGTCATAGACTTTCTCAAATCCATACTGAAGCTTGGTCAAGGATGCCGTGCATTTTTGTTTGGTTAATATTTCTCATCATTAAGCAGTCTTTGGATTTGATCACATTTCCTTTTGTATAAGAGTAATCAATAGTCTTTATACAGTTTGATTAAATTGATTTATTATACATATAAATCTAATTTTAGACTCCATTATATGAATGGAATTATGCAATAAGGTGAATCATTAAATAATCATTTAAAAACTACTGCAGTAAAGACACACTGACATTAATTCCTCTCAAAATACTCTTCATTAGAACACACTTACCCAAATTTCTGAAGCAGTTCTAGAAATCTTCTTTCCAAAGTGTCTTTTCATGGCTGCCTCGAAGTCCTGAATCCATTTCTAATGTTTATGGAAATTTCTGTCAAATGAAAATATTGTGGTGTGTCCTCATTCACCTTTTTCGCTGGATCTGGCACTGTGTGACTTCAGGTTCTTCTTCAATGTCAAAATGTCTATGAATAGCAAATGTTTTGAATTGATTGGGGATATTAAGGAAGCCCTGACAACACAACTAACGACGCTCATGAAAGAGGACTTTCAGAACATCTTCAAAAAGTGGTGAGAATTAAGTGTTAAGTGTGTTCAAAGCAAGGGGGAGTATTTTTAGGGGGATTACTGGAAATATATATTTCACTGCAATTATTTTAAAAATTTATATGAGCACTGTATTTCTCAATCAAACTTTGCATCTTTACATTTCTCTAGGATCAAGATGAAACCAACCAATATCATCAATTTAGGACCCAAGTCAACCTCTCTCTCTCTCCCTTCAAAATGAGTTTAATCCCTTATGTAAGACAAAGAGGATTTTATGCTCACGTCAGCTACCATGGTTGATGTAACAAAAGATACACTTGTCCTACATATCACAGGATACATTTATCTTGAAAAAAGTTGGGCCACCATCTTAGCAGTTAAAATTTGAGTTCTCTAGATACACTTTGCCTGTCTGTTGGTACTGTTAGTTGTTGGAATTTAAAAACCAGCAGACCACACTGAGAGGTGGGAATGGTCTCACTTTAGACAAATAGGAATTGTTTGGACAGTGAGAAAATAGTCATTACCACCCTACTTCTGCCACAGAATAATTTTAGTGACTTTTTATTGATTTATTTGTCAAATGTTTTTATAATATGAAATCTCATGCTCAATACTAAGGAGAACCTCAGTAACAATTGAATAATTAGACCTCTCTTAACAAAATAAGTTGAAGAAGTAACATTCACTTATGAGGCTTTAATCTTTTACTCTGCAGAGCTAACCCCATTACATACCAAATTCCCTCTCTCATTTCATTTATGCTTTTGTGATATTCGTTGAGCACATGAAAATTGCTTTGTAAAGGTATCTGAAACCATAAGTTTTGTCCTGCCAAAAAGCTTTCCTTTGTATGAATATGACAATAGTAAAATTGTCAAATTGCATCACCAAAAATTAACTGGGAAGATCTGTTTAATTACTTAGCAAACGTTAATTTAGATGAAATTCCTGGCACGAAGTACACTCTAATAATAATTGTACAAAAGGAAATATTATTATCTGTACCACATACCTAAGGCATAAGAGGTTAATAGGTCATAATAGGTCACTAAGTATATGAACAAGCAGGTACACAAAGGAGCAAAACATGCATTTATCTAGAGATAAATATAATACTAAATTCATTATTACATAAAAATCCAGTGCACTTTAAAAGCCATTGTACATCTGATAGGGCTTTAGAGTTGGATTGCAGCATTCTCTGAAAAGGGGTTGTTTGGGATGTAATTAACATGACAAACAAGGGAAAGACACAAGTTTAGCAAAAAGCTCACTTTGAGTGGATAAATTTCTCTTTTTCCTTTTTCTAAACGAGAAAGGCTGAATAAAAAGCACATAAAATAACTGCTGACTGAGTGGAGCTCTTGAGCTAAGGACTTGTGCAGTGAAAATTCTACTTTGTCTAGCAAACATTGTCAAACAAAAACCTTGAAAGAAGAACATTTATTTTTCTCATTTTCTTAAAAAAAAAAAACAACCCTCAGCTCTGACCCCATGACTTCACTAACAATACTAAAGTCACAGGTGGTAGGAGGGATATACAAGCAAGAAGCAGGCTGGTTCTCTTGTTCTTGGAGGCTGACTGAGGTTTATTCGAGAAAATGAGTAGATGTCTGGACCACAGAACCTTAGGCACTTTGGGGTAGTAGGGTCTCACGAGCAACCCAAATCCTCTGCACATCAACTCCAAAGCCCTCTCAGGGTAAAAGCAAGAATTTTAGGCCACGGTCTCCAAATCCAAATCCAAATAGGATACTTGCTTATACCAATCCCTTTATTTTTCAATCATGGTCACATTCAAGAGAAAACGAAACACAGTGACTACTGTAATAGACTTTTGAGGGAAATGGCCATTCCATTTGCTTCAAAGGGGGTCTAGGTTAGGAGTGCAGACACAGGCTCTGGAGTAGAATAGAACAATTTTCAAATAGTAACTCTACAATCTAGTACCAAATAGGTTATTTTATCTCTCAGAGAGACTGCTTTTCCTCTTGTAAAGTAAATGTAATTCGTTCTCCTGGGATTTGAGAGAATTAAATGGCTATGCAATAGCACACTACTTGGCATATAGTGAATGGCAAAAAATGAATTGTATTATATTGCTACAATATTAATTTTAAGATCCCACAAAAAGTAGATGCCAAGAAGGGACTGCATGTGCACAAAATTTATTAGAGCATCTGTCTGTAAAAGAATATGGGGAGATAGAAAGAAGAGGCTGGATGATCATGTTGCAAGTCTGATCCAGAATGAAGAAGGGAGATAGAGCATAAGAATTTTAACTCACTGTGCATTTCCAAGGGAAAGTATGGCAAGGCTATCATGCAGGCCTAGTGCTAACTCCACCTGTCACATGATCCTGCTTCTCCAAAAACAGATCTGCCTCAGTCACAATGCCAGGCCTACTCACATGTGGGAACAGCCTGTGAAAGGCACAGACACTCACCAGGATGGATTGCCAAGGCAGCAGCTGAGACCCAGGTCAGTCACTCATGTTCCCTGCATGCCACAGTCAGTGGCATGTTCTTGTGTTACCATAAATATCAGTCAGTGTGGTTCCTTAGAAAATCATATGTTATTTCTTCTGAAAAGGAAAAAGGGCCAAAAAAAAAAAAGAAAATATGGAGGAAGAGGAAAAGGAAGAAGGAAGAGGAGGAGGAGGAGGAGGAGGAGGAGGAGCAGCAGCAAAGAGAACCCAGTAATACACACAGAGTAGTAATAGAAAGATATAAACTCAGGGTATATTTTTAGGTTATATTTTTGTTTTTAAAAATGCAAATGAAATCACATGGATGAAATTCTAAGATGATTTTTGTTGTGACTAAAAGCATGTATTGAAAACAATCAACTTTAAGAGCTGCTTTTAATCAATCCTTCCCTATTTAGATCTTTCATGCATAAGTAGGTCCTAGATTTCTTTAAAAATCACTATTTTATTTCTTTTTCTTCAGTTTACACAATTAAGTGATTTTCAGCTTCCATCTGATATTGCAACTCTTTGGGAATCTGAGTGAAGCCAGCTTCTGTCCTCACTAAAATACATACCATCCATACTCAATAAGGGGTACAATTCCAAAGGATTTTTGGACCCTTATATCCAACAATTACAAGCATATACAAGGTCTACCAATATTTCACACAGAGTTATATAAAGCTATTCATCTACAGAATTTTAAACTATCTCACAATTCTTGGACTTTATGCCTTTGTGGATTAAGATGATCAATCAGTTATTCCTCTTAAAATGTATTTTTCCAGATCAAAGTCTCTTTGTGCATGCTAAGTTATCATTCAGCAAAGTTACATGAATGAGAACACTGTATGTGATACACATTTAAATAATAAAATGTTTATTTGGGTGCTTTTATTCCTTCTTTTCCCCATACAATATGTCCAGATTTAGGACAGAGATATAAATGCTTAAGTAAATTTGACTATGTGTTAAGGTCTTTACTTCTAGTATTTTTTAAATTTAATATGACACTACATTTGTAATACAGCCCTGTAAATGTCTGCTACCTCACACTGACTTTCTCTTTCTTGGTTAACATTTATGTTCTCGGGCTCCTTTCTCCTCTTACTAGATGAACATGTTTCCTTTTGCTTTTGTGCAGCTTGTCACTGACTACATTTCCGAGACAGACAAAAAAGGAAGAAGGGATGGCTCTAATGAAAACTCAGTCATCGCACTGAATTCACATTCAGGTGGAAGCTATCTGATATGCAACATTAATCATACATCTGGTGTTGAACCCACCCACTACCTGTGCACAATGGGGTGAATTCATTATATGTCAGGAAACCAAATCATTGTCTAGCAGTAGTTGCCTCCAATTACTCAGTTTCCAAATGCTTGCTCAGCCTTGAAGCCTTAACTATCCATTTTCTTTCCTTTGGAGGTTAGAGCCAACACTTCAACCTGGTAGTTTCTATTTTCACAGAGTTTAAAGAATATGTTAAATGACAGAGGTCTAGAAAAATATATTTCCTCCAAAGCTGGTGACCAATTAGTTGCTTGCCACTGACTGTCATTTCACTGCTACAAGTGTTGTGTTCTTGTAGCATAGTGATAGACACACTGTTTATTTTCCACTTTACAGTCTTTGCCAATACTCCAAGTCCCACACCGCTGCCTTTAATGCTGCTCTTCTGGATGGCTTATGACAGGGGAAAAGATAAAAGGTATGTGTGAGTGCAAAATGGCAACAATGAGCAAACTTATCCAGGATGCAGAGCAAAGAGAATAGCTATTTTACTACCTCACCTTTTATTTTAATGCTTCTAAATGAAATTGTGGAAAACACCAAGTCCACAAGGTTAATGCTCAGACATAAGTACCATGGCTAAAGACTTTGTGAAGGTTATTAAGCTGTTGACAAGATGAGAATCAGACATATTCACCACTGGTTCAGTAATTGTCTTTCATCTAGGAGCAAGTTCCCCTCTCCCTCCCCCAACTTTTATGATTCATCATATTTATTTTTTGTTTCCTCAAGCAACATCTTTTATTAGTTGCACACTCACTGCAGAAATTTAATTTCTGCAAGAGAACAACAAAGCAGTTGATTATTATTATTGAGAATCTGGTACAACATCGAGTGAAATAAAATCTATATGGCATTAAAATGACAGATTAGGCAAGAGCTATATTCATTTACAAGTGTTAGAACATCATGCTAATGCCTCACAAGCACAACATAAAATGAAAATCAACTCTTTCATGCTGCTTTACGAATGAAAGCTGTGAAGCTCCCAGGAACATAAGCCAGAGCCTCTGTTAAAGAGGTAATGTCCTTTCGTAGGTTCCTCCTTGACAAACAAAAATAAAAACACTCCTCTCATTTGCACAGCCAGAAGCACTCCGTGGTTATACCTTGGTCATCCCAAACTAAACACCACTAATCCTACTAAGATTTAAAGCTTTCACATGTACCTCTTTGATTTTTAATGGAGGATAACACTTCACTTATTAACCAACCTCTATCCTTTATATCCCACAGTAGAAACCAAAAAGAAAGTAGAAAAGCTTGAGCCCAGGGATTAGCAATTCAGGAATATTATTCCATGCAATAACCTCTCCCCAGTAATTTGTACAAAGCCTGTTAATTTGTGTTTAAGATTATATATAATATGTATGTGTGTGTGTGCGTGTGTGTGTGTGTGTGTGTGTGTATATATATATATATATATATATATATATATATATATTTGATACCATGTGTTCTAACTAAATATAGATAAGAAGAAGTAAATTAATGTGGCACATGCTTGTAATACCAGCACTCTCAGAGGCAAAGGTAGAAGGAGAGTAAGTCTGAGACTAGACTGGACAATCGTGTTACTTAATGAGGTCATGACTCTAAACAAAACAAAAATTTTAGAAGTTCTGAGGCTATAGTTTAGCATGAAGTCTCTGGGTTCAATACCCAGTAACACGAAGGAAGGAAGGGAGGGAGGGAGGGAGGGAGGGAGGAAAGAAAGAGAAAGAAAGACAGAGCATCAAGTTAAAATTCTAAACACTAGATTGATTTTCTAGTAAGAGAGCAGACAAACAATATAATAAACAGAATGTCTCAAAAATTTGTAAGTCCACCATAACTAAGAATGTTAGGAGAAAAGAACAAATAAACTCTGATTATATTAATATAAGCCTTTCAGAAAGAACTAAATGAGTTTCATATCGGTCTTTATCTCCTGAAGTAATTCTATAAAATAGTTCATAGAAAATTCTATCAAAATAGGAAGCCTATTTCATATATGAAGATCAATTTATTTTATGACAATATTGAATAAAAATGTGGTGCCCCATATTTTCTATATATGAATGAATATGTTGAACAATAAATATATAAGGTACAAATATGCTATAAAATATATTATCATGCAATGTATTCAATTGTATATTATTAATTATATGTGTAATTATCTCTTGGTCAGATAAATAATGTAATTTATTAATAAACCTTTAGAGATTTATTTCAGACTCACTTTTTAACTCAGAAGGCAATATCAGATACAAGAGCTTATTAGATAATAAATATTAGATACTAGAGATGGAAAAATGTGAAAGTTTGATTTCTTTATTCTGGTATAATTGGTAATGCAATTATAAGGACAGTTGAAGTGACCTTGTTAAATAGCTCCTCTTAACAGAGTAGACAGCGTGAGCACAGTGTCATCAGTAAGATGTCAGACACCATTTGCATGTTACACCTACTGTTCTGGTTGTACCCTTGAGGAACACTAAGGTTCGTGTGTCATACGCAACTTCTAGAAGAAATGGGATATTTCAATCCCTTCTCCTCTGTTCAAGGGAGCCTACTGGAATATAAATGTACGAGCAAGGAAGTTTGACTTGTTATAGTTTATTAAAGACCGAAAAGACAGACTTCTTTTTTTGACATTAGTAACAAATTCCTCATGACACAGCTTAGTTACTCAAGTAGGGCATGGCTGACAGATAGGATGTCAGGGGCAAGAGGTCTGTCTCCCAATCTATACTGTGTGACCTTGGACAATTCACTTTCACCATTAATGGATGTAGGATATTTGTAAAGAAGGGACTACAATAGAGTTCCTGACTTAGACATCTTACAAGTTATTGTGAGAGCTCATCAGGGATATTTCATATACAAAAAGAATGGTAAGAAAATATGGTGATATCCACGTCAATGAAGGGAGCATCATTTTCTGATGTCATTGTCTAAAAATATCTGCTCTAACCAGGCTGTGACTTTTTGAACTTAAACAAACTCTTTTGGTTTGACCAAAAGTATGAAACTGAATATACCTTGAATGCAAATACAAGTGTTCTTGGATTTGTGATGCAATACACTTTACATGAGACAAAGAGTGAATTGGCAAAGAATCATTGAGCTATAGATTTCACAGCAAGAATACAAGTCTGACAGTCAGGAGCTAAAATTAAATAGCTATAAATATGAGGAACCATGGGAGGTACCCACAGATCCCAGACATATGGTGACACCTAAAGTTTTAATAAAGAAGAAATCATTCCTTGAGTTGGGCAGATGAAAAAAAAAATAGAAAAAAAAAAAAGTAAATATACATATGAATTTGAGCTCTGGCCTTCTACCCACTGCCTGGCTGTTAATTTTTGAACTTCACTCAGGCTGTGTGTCCAACAGACCACATGGTGATTGCTAAATTGCTCAATGACCACAAGCTACAATCATGGGGACAATATTCATGAAAATTAACATCCCATTTAATACCCACCACATTTCCAGCCAACATGCTGTGTACCAGAAAGTCCCCGAACTGGCTCCAAAACTTTTCAGTTCCTGACAAATGCACTGGACCCTCTCCAAGGAGCTGGGCCACAATCTGTGCTCAGTGCTGGAGTGTGGTGGTGACAGTGCCCTCAGTGGGAAAGGAGGAGGAGAAGGCAAGAGATCTGCTAAAGGGGAAGGTCTGAAGACCACAGGCAGTGGGACTCACCCAGGCCCCATGAACTCCAGTTTGGCATGGCTGGGGACAGGGTCGGAATTGCTTTCATTTCTTTCCTAACAGATAATAAAAGCTGGAACTTGGAAATGGTAACAAATACTTGATGACTTTTGTTAACATTACAGACTGAAATTCACATTTGTTTTTAAAGTATGATGGCATCTATGGGAGAAAAGTTTCTAAAATAGGAACCCTTTAAAACTTTTTAAAAACAAAAGCGACAACATCATAAAGTTAGTCTTGTCTTCTTTTTTATGAGCTGGCACATACCCTCTTAATTGTTGGCCTTTTTTATATTTCTCATAAAGCATATACTTTAGTCATAACTTTCTGCCATTAACTTCAAAAATCTACTGTTTAATTTACACTGGTGAGACTCCAGCTTGTCAGAGCAGCCACTATAATGCCTCCTACTCCCATTCACACATACTTACTTTTCAATGCTAAGAAAACAATCACTTGCATTCCTCAAACATTTTCAAAATTCTTTTCTACACGCATTCCATGAAAATGTCAGTTTTCAAGGACAGCTGAATACACTCAAGATCTGTTTGACCCAAGGTCTGATTTTCTTTAGGCTGAGTTATTTTCTCTGAAATACTAGATTTGTACAAATGATTATTTTCAATGATACAAACTTAAAGCGTGGGGTAGTATCTTAGAACTCTTCATTTCCTCTCTCGGGCATGCTGGTGGCTGTGTACGCACTGTGTTCAAAAAACACATGAAGTTTTCATGGCCGTAGAACAACTTATGCTGCAAATCTTACCAGTGTGGGTGTTTTGTTTTATATCTAAAATGTCCCCCCAAAGCCTCATGTGCTCCCAGATGGGGCTTTTGAGAGTAGCTGAATACTGGGTGTGTGATAGTGGATTAAGGGTATAATGATAGCTGGATTAGTCTATTGATTGGTTTATCATAGCTGTGAATGTGGATAATAGGAAGATTTGCCCTAAGTGTGGGTGACATGGTCCGATAAGCTTGAATCCTGGATGTACTAGCAGATATAGGAAGGCTAACTGCTTGTTGCTTCCCGCATGCCATCCCATGAACTGTTTCTCCTCTGCCATACCAGTGTGCCTTGCAGGTGGCCAAATATGGACTGAAACCTCCATAAACTAAACTTTTCCTCCTTTAATTCATGGGTGTCAGATATTTTGTCCCAGCAATGAGAAAAATAATTAAGACATAATCACATCCATATTTGGAAACAGAAAAATCAACCCAATGTCTAAGGTAGAATATTCTCCTTTTTACCTCAAAAATATACAATTCAGCATAATATAACTCTAGGAAGAATAAAAAGAGGGTGAAAAACTGTTTCAATTCCACCTTTGCAGTTAGCAATGTGACTGACTAGCAGAGTTAAATCTTCACTGGTATTCACTCGTATTTAGACTAGATAGTTTCCAAAGACCCAAGTAAAATAAACTTCATGATCTAAAAGAACAGAATACACCCACAATGTCCAGATCATTCCACCCCATGAGGACCACTGGAAAAAAAATAGTTTGGCTGTGTTCCCATGATGCCTATGTCTAGAAGTTGAAAGTCAAAAGTTTAGATGATTGGCTGAGTTTTCCACTTGTGTTGTGTTTCCTTTCTTGTATTGTTTAGACCACATCTGAGAACACTGACAAGAGATTTTTAGTCTATTTCACAACCTCATAATCCCCTTCTTAAAGATGTTTAATAAATACAATGTTCAGTAAATAAATGGCCTCTGTGCATCTCACAGTGACTGATAATGAGGAGGCCCTTTGGGAGCCCGTGACAGCTTGCTTTTGGTAAAGCGTGGCTCTCCAGTGCCAGCCATGCATGATGTTGCTCAGCAGGTTTCACACTAGCACAGAACCATTTTTATAAGATGTCTAAGAGAGAACCCAGCTGTTCAGGTAAGTACACCAAAAACATCCTGAACATGTGTGATAAGCAATGAAAAACATCCCAAGTCACAGTCCAAACATCCTCCTTTAGAAGTATCACAAAATCCAGTATAAGCTCCCATGATGAGCTGTCTAAGACATTGCTCCAAAACCATTTGACTTCATATACTTTATAAAAAAAATTGACTTATTTGGTAATGTCAAAGCTAGGGCATGCTGTAAGAAATTACTAAAGAAATTCTAAAGGGAGAATGAATAAACAATGAGTTGTTACTCGATATTCTGATGAAACTAGATTAAGTAAATGTGACCGGCTGTCCCAAAAT